CCAAGAAAATGGTGTTCATGAATTTGAAAATATGTAATCATGAAAATGGATCTTATAATAGTCGCTGTGCTCCAGAAATGATAAAATTTTCAATCTTAGAAGTTATTAATTAATAGTCGAATAAGAGATAATAATGATTTTATTTGTGAGAAATGATTTTGTAGTATTTAAACTACTAATCAAATTCTTATATCTGCTTATTTCAGACTCCTTCTCCTCTTCAATACAAAATCTACAGCGAGCAGTACTGTACTGAAACGAGTGTCTGATTATTAAGTAATATCTCACACTTAACCTAATATATCAGAAACAGAAGCAGATAAGTAACAAAACAAGTTTATATATAAAATTGGCGTTCGATTTTAAAGTCCTCCTATGGGATAGCGGTAAGTCCACGGATTTATAATGCTAAAATGAGGGGCTCTATTACCCTCTGTTGACAGGTGATCAGGTGCTATCCAAAATACAACTTTGTCACTCTGTCTTACTGTTGAGATATCCCCATTCTATTGCACTAAATAATACTCTGTTGATGATGTATAAATTTTATACTCTACTTATAGATATTGCTTTGTAAGCGAAAAAGAAAAATATGTGCATTTTAGTATTGTAGTATTTTGGGTTTCTCAAGATATTTTTCGGAGATAACGTTCGACAACTGTGACCTTTTTTTTTCAATTAATCATTAATTATTATGATGATTTTTTACTTTTACTCTAAAATAAAGAGCATAATACAAATAGCTAACATGTACTTCGATTGTTTTTACCAGATGCTTTACTTGGCATGCTGTCCCTCGATGGGTTGCGGTAAGTTTACAGATTTCAACGCTAACATCTGAGGTTCGATTCCTCGTTGTCAACAGGGTGCAGATAGCTTTGTGTAGCTCTGCGCAAAATATCAAAAACAAAACTTGACATTATTGCGACCAGGTAATTCAAAGCACATTACAAATATTGATAAGTAATTTTCAAATGTTTCCGTTGGATGGGTTATACCAGATATTATATTTTACAAATGCTTTTCGACACCTCTGATATGCGATCAGCTAAACCCAGGCATAATATAAAACTGATATGATTTACAAACTGTAACTAATTCCTTTAGAGCTTAAGTGGCATAATTACAAAAATTTATTTGTAATATTGGTTAAGCGATTAGTTACAGAAAAGCATAATACCACTAGCGAACCCGTGTGCCTGAGGCCCACATTTACAGTGCCGCTATAATGTAAATTTAATGCTTAAACTACTATTTTGCATTTTTCAGTTTAAATTGCCTCTATAATGCAAATTTAATTTCTTTAACCAAGTTACGAATGGCAATTAGTAGGCCTACTTATTTACGTGCTCTGATGTAAATCATTGCCAATTTTGGAGTCCGCTTTTGGGAAATCTCCGTAAAAGTGTTTTTGCAAAATACACGGGTTTCCCAAGGGGTTGGGTGAAAAGTTTTATCTGTTTGTAAATCTCGGGACTGAAACGATTCGTTGGTACCAGTAAGAAGTTCATGAGTCCAGCAGTTTAGAAGAAGGTGCTTTTTGGAAATCCCCAGGTCCCCCAGGGAGGAGGATGAAAATGTTTTTACCTTTGTGCAAATCTCGGGACCAAGACTATTCGTTTGGTACCACTTAGAATACCGGTACGACCAGCGGTTTGGGAGGAGTTACGTGACACACACACACATACACTGAATATTATTATATAGATGTTAGTATGTAGTCTTGTTGCCTAGCGCTCGATCTTATCAACTAAATGTATTATGTAGAATGTTTTTAAATAATATACTTTTTTTTGTTTAAAATATAGAAACAAGTATTTGTGGTGAAATGCATTATTATATTTTCCAGGTTAAAAGAAAAGGGAACAAATGGATATTTACGTGTCAGCATGGTCCCCAGGAATGCTACGCCAATGTTGTACAGGTAATCATTTGTTATCATTTATTCTTCTGCTTGCTTTCGAGAAATTACTTGGAACAAATGGATATTTACGTGTCAGCATGGTCCCCAGGAATGCTACGCCAATGTTGTACAGGTAATTATTTGTTATCATTTATTCTTCTGCTTGCTTTCGAGAAATTGCTTGGAACAAATTCGCAATAACTGTTGCTGTTTTAATAAACATCACTGTGTTTTCAAATTGTAAGTGCCGAAGTAAATTAAGTTTTTAACATTTTCTACATTTCACAAGTAATTAGGAAAAAAATTGTATATATATATATAAAGTAAAACAGAAACTAGATCGATATTTGTTCTTTGAAGCAGAACTAAATAGAATCTTGAGGAAAAACGGAAAATTAATGTTTAGGTGGATTTTTTCAAACAAATCCATATAAAGAAATAAAAGGGGTATCCATAAAGTATTGGATCATGTTATCAATTGAATAGAGCTACATACGACAAACAGTTGCAATGTTCGGTATAATGAAGGCGGCTAAAACTCCAGGTTTGCTAATGGTCAGGGGTGCTGTTAATACATCTCGACATGGGCACCGTTTGTGGCTCGACGGATGTCTAGGCAATAATCATACTCTGCCTACGTAAGTGCCAGCATCTCCGGAGTATTGTTTGTTATGAATTTTGCGCAAAGCTACACGAGGGCTATCTGCGCTAGCCGTCCCTAATTTAGCAGTGTAAGATTAGAGGGAAGGCAGATAGTCATCACCACCCATCGCCAACTCTTGGGCTACTCTTTTACCAACGAATAGTGGGATTGACCTTCACATTATAACGCCCACACGGCTGAAAGGGCGAGCATGTTTGGTGTGACTGGGATTCGAACCCGTGACCCAAAGATCGAGAGTCGAGCGCCGTAACCACTTGGCCATGCCAGGCCTTCTCCGGAGTAATTGTGTTGATTATTCGGGCACGCAATGTTGTCTTATAGACAGCGTCCTTGACCTAATCTATTGGGAAAGGCCTTGAAACATCAGTCTTCTAAATGCCACAAGTCGTGACTGTTTATTTGGTGTGGTTCCTATTCTATTGAATGAAGAAAAATTGTTCAATAATTTTTGGACATCCTGTACTTTCTTTGTAATGTTTATTAGCCAACGTATTTTTTATTATTATTTCTGGACTACATATGCATACGCGTAATTATATATATATATATATATTTACAAAAATATTTATTTGTATATAATACATATAAAGTAGAAACTTCAATATTATTGGCGCTTGTTTCACAGTATATAATAAAACTAAATTATTTCTATACTTCCCTGAATCATTTTGGTTGTACTTTCATATTATTTACTTCTATAAATTGAGAGCTTAGATCTAGAACTCTTAATAATAATACAGCCTAGTTATTGCTGCATTGTTATAATGTTATGTCAAATAATATATTTTTTTATATATATCTTTCTAAAAAATCTTAGACTTGCAGCATTTTTCTTCTGAATAACACATCTCTCGCCCTGAACTTTATCAAATGCATGTCAGCAGATAGAAAACCCTGGATGGCAGGTGAAAAGGTAATTAATTTTATAGTCCCTTGTCTATCTGGTGCTCGAATTTGACTGAAAATAATTCTAAATTAAAAAAACTAAACACAAGAAAAGCCAATTTCCAGACTCGAATATTATGTAAATACTTTCTGTAAGGGCGGACTGTGATTCGCATCTCGTTACCGCCAAAAGGAAAGAGAGAGTGAAAAAAAAGACGCTCTGCATTTTGGGGTCATGGAGCGTAATAACAATGACGAACCCCACTATTCAGATATTGAGTGGTGTTGACTAGCTGCCTTCCCTCTAGTCTATCACCTAAAATTGGGGACAGATCACGAGGTAGCCCACGTGCTGCTTTACGCGAAGTAAAAAAACAACAACAAAAAACAGCAGCTTTCTGTAGAATGTTTACTGACGCTCATGGCCCGGCATGGTCCAGTGGTCGGAGCACTCAACTCGCAATCAGTGAATCGCGGGAATGAACCCCCTCAAACGAACATGCTCGCCCTTTCACTTATGCGGGGGGAGGGG